CCATCCTCTTCTGATGTTTCAATAATCTTCTAAACTCTTATCCCAAATTTTTATTAAACTTCCAAATTCCCCCTCAGTGTTAGCCAGCACCCTCAATGTGCCCTCATGTTCTTGTCTAACATGATGACATTCCTTCATAGCATTTCAAATCCCCCTACATTGCTTCTAGAAACCTCTGCCCTGAAACGGTAGCCTTCCCTCAAAACCTTTTCAAACAATCCAAATCTTCCTACTACATCTCCAGCTGAAATTTCCACATTGTCCCTCCACATCAGGCCAGACAGCCCGGTGATTCCTGTTGAACTCACACGGAGAATTGTCAACTATATTTAGCAATTCCAAGCAGACACCCACTGAATGCCTCCATATACTTCGGGTACACAGGGGTCAGTTGGATTAGGCCCTCTGGCAAGGGTCTGTGAGAAAGACGGAGCTGGGGAAGGGTTCTGAGTGGAGGAGGGACATGATCTGAGGTGGGTGTCAGCAGTGCCCCTGTGGAACAGACTGGGGATGAAGCAGGAGCAGGAACCAGGCAGGAAGACTAGTCAGGAGGTTGCTGCAACACACTAACAGGCCACGTAACAGAAGGACCTGCCTGATACCCCAATACTCCCCCAATTCCCAGCTCTCATCTGTAGGTCAGGGTCATTTCCAAACTCCACCCCAGGTCCCAGTTTGATTCCCAGGCTGGAGGACAGCCTGCCTTCTCTGCACGCCAGGCCATTCCCCTGCCTCCCCAGCCCCACCCTACCCCACGCCCCAGGGTGGCTCACTTTCTGGTCCCGGAGGCGCTCCCCGTGGATGACGTAGTGCCCCTGGCGGGCCCCCCCCTCGGGCCTGGCCCCTCGGACCCGACATACGCTCACCTGGCTGAGGCCCCCGCCCCCCACAGGCAGCCAGCCCCCACTGGAGTCATCTCGGGCCATCACCACAGCTCGGACCCGCACCATGTACCTGGAGGAGGTCGGGAGGAAGGGACAACAGTCAGTGAAGTCAAATCCTGTTTTCCCCCTCAGTGTTCTCCCAGCCCTGCTCTCCCCGGCTGTCTCCCCTCGTGTCCACTTTATTCTAGCATAGCTTCTTTCTTCCTTGTGACATCACTTCTCTCCCCTGTCTACCTTCCTCCAGATACCTATCTTTTCTCTCCATACCCACCTTTCCCCCATCTTTCCCATCACCAGCCCCAGAGCCTTAGTTTTTCATTTCCCCTCCCCCTCCTGCTCATCCCCTCAACCCCGTCTCCTTCCCTCTCAGCACAAACCCACAGCCCCACCCATCGTCCCCCCTCACAGTTGGGTTCCTGCGCATATGTATTTCTCAGGGCCCATCAACTCAGCTCCAGTTCTCTCAACCTGCCTCTGCACCCTGTCACCCAGGCCACTGGCTGGGTGAGAAACCCTGGCTCTCTTCCCCCCACCCCTTCCCGGATTTATGAATGAGACCGGATGCAAAGCTCACTGAGTCACCCAGCAACGGGGAGATGGACAGGGAGCAGGGAGAGAACCAGAAATGGCCAGAAAGAGGCCGAGAGAAAGAGATGGAGGCAGAGGAAGCCAGAAACCGGCAACTGAAGATATCCTGGGAGCATTTCATTCACAAAAATCAAGGCTGCTCCCTCAGGTCCCAGCCGAGTGAAGCCAAGGGGAAGAGATGGGAGGTGGGTGGGGAGATCAATACCCCTCCCCAGCATCCTTCAAAAATATTTCATCCTGCCCACCCCCCAGCTCAGGGGGCAGAGCCCTCCCCCCAGTAATTTGGATTAGCGTCCAGCCCCTCACTGCCATCCAGCGCAGGGACCCAGGCGTCCCAACCTTAGGATCCCAGGCAACGAGTTCCAGCCCCCTCCCCCACCTGCAGGCTGCCGGGTTTCCCGGGGCCTTCGGGAGGGGAAGGGGCGGTCGCAGCGCCCCCAGCCCCCTTTTCTCAATGGGATGGGATTTTGTGAATGAGCAGTCACGTGACTCTGCTTCCTTTGTCCGCCCGCCTCCCCCGACAACAGGTGAAGCAGGGAAAGAGGGCAAGGGTCCCCCCGCAGGGCCTAGCTGGGCTGGGGCACCAGTATCTTGGGGTGCCCTACGCTCCTCGCACATCTGTGTTTCCCCGGGGAGTGGTCCTCAGAGTTCCTCAATGGTGAGGGTCCAGGACGGAATTTTGTGAATGAGGAGTCCTTGGAGGAAGTCCAGGACCCCAAATGGAGACCGGTACCCTAAATGGCTGCCGCGCAGTTTGGGGGCCCCCATCCCCTTGTCCTCCCAGCCGGGGTCCGCGGGGCGCCGGGGTGGGCAGAAGGCGCTGCGCGGTCCTGGCCGCCCCCTCACTGGGGCAGGCGGTCTGTCAGCCCCCGCCCCCTCGCGGCCCTCTGCACCTGCCTGGGAGGCTCCGGCCGGGCTCCGAGCGGCGGCG